CTGTGGGGACAGGGTTGGGGACTGGAAGGAGGAGGATGAACAGAGTAAATATGGAAATGATGAAAATAATGCAAGAATGGTCATTGACCCCACGCATCTAGTACTTATTATTAAGAAGAACTCTGTTTAGCACTTAATGTACATTACCTCATTTAATATTCTCATGACCCTGCAAGGTAGATAATTTTATCATCTCCATTTTACATATGAGGAAACTGAGGCTCAGAGAATTCACTCCAAGCTTTGGGAGAAGAAAACATGGAACCTTTGTTGAAACTTTATTATGTGCTCAGAGCTATCTTAAGCACTTTGTGTGTGTTAACTCACATTAATACAAGTGGAAAATTAAATTTTTGCTTTCCAGAAATTCATAGTCTGGTGGAGAAGACTGATACCATAAATAATGGATACATCCCAGACAGTAAGAACTGTATCATCAGGTTTCAAATGTCATTCTACAAGAACCTAAGGAGAACACCATTCCTTACTAGTGGGGGACCTAGAAAGGCTTCTTGTAGAAAGTAAGATTTAAGTTGAGTTTTGGAAGAAGAGTAGGGTTTTGACAGCCAGATTAATTAAGGAAGAGCTTTCCAGGGACAAGGAAGAACTTGAACAATGGTCTGGAGATGGAGGAGTCCAAGGCCCATGAGTAAAACTACAACCTCCAAAAGCACAGGGAACCTGGGGAGCCATGGACTAGGAGATGGAAGGAAGCTGGGGAGATTAGGCCTGATGCTGAAGGTAATGGGACACCAGTGAAGGTTACTGAGCAGAGGGGTAGCATGATCGTATCTGTGTATCTTGAAGATTATTTGGGATAACTGCAGGAGCAGGAGAAACTGTAGGCAGATCAGCTAAGAGTGGCAGTGATTTAGATGAGAGGCAATGGGAACCTGGAATTGGTTGCCATTTCTCAAACCAATCTGGAAGATTATATAGGGTACACTTTTTAGGGTTTGGCAATTGATTCGATGTAGGGGGTGAGGGAGAGGGATTAGTGAATGATACTTTAACCCAAGCCAGTTCTTAACCATCGCGCCACTCGGCCGGCCCATGAATGATACTGTAAATGGACCTGTGGGAATGCTAGAAATGTATCAAAGTCGCTATGTGCCTAATTTTCTAGGACCTAGCCACTCATTCTTCCTGAAGGTACAATGAAGTCAGAGTCTAGGATGCCTGTCTCAGAAGTGGTTGTCACTCCTCTGCTGATCAAATGGCAAGGTTGGCAGTGTTTTATGAGGTGGGGTGGTTGGACTCCAAGTAATGCCAATTTCTATAACAGGAAGAACTAAAATGAACATGTATTGAGGATCTTTGATCTTTGGAATGGTCTTGAAAGGTACGTGCTGTGTTCTGTTTCTACAGTGGTGGAGGGTGAGTGACTTATTTGCTCAAGGTAACATAGAAAATGGTGGAGACTCACTTGCACAGAGTCACATAGCAAGTAAATGGCAGACCTTGTCTGTCTGACTTCTAAGACTATGTTCTATTTTCTATAGTACCAGAAAACTAGAAACATCAATAATGTGTTTGTATGAAAAATAACTTAAAAGAAAAAAGCTAGAGAAAGAAGACAGACAGACAGACAGACAGACAGACAGACAGACAGACACACACACACACACACACACACACACACACACACGATGTCCAGGAGAGAGAAAAAAGAACAAGAGGTGGATTTAAAGGTCTCTACTGAGGAAGAAGAAATCTGGAAGAATTGTCAAGTTAGTATCAAGCCTGATCTTAGGAGAAATACAGTAATGACAAGACACGGCTCTTGTTCTCATGGAGCTTATTGGGGACAAAGGATATATCACAGCTGCTACCCAACCTATTTTTACAAAATGCTCTGGACTTTCGGAGGTGATGTTTTCTTGGGTTGTTTGGAAAACGTTGCTGAGAAGCTATGACTTGAGCAATATCTCAAAGGAGGGCTTGTCCGTGGATTGTCCAGGAAGAGCGATCAGGGCATTTCAGTGGAGGAAAAAGTCCGAGCAGAGGTGAAAGACTGGGAGAATACCCTCCGCATTTGTTTTGTGACTAGTGTGCCTGTTATACAAGCTCCATATAGGAGAAGAGCAGGGGCATGAGTTGGTCAAGGGTTAGATCCAGAGAGTGGAGGAGGGCCTTGAATGCCCAGGCTAACACACGTGTGCTTCATGGAGTAGGCAATGGGAAACCAAAATTGAGGGTAGAGGGTGGGGAAAGAAAATATTGCAACAGTTTAGGTAGATGGTGATTCAAGCCCAGAAAAGAAGAGACAGATGGAGAACTATCCTATAAACCAGTGGTTCTCAACCTGTGGGTCGCGACCCCTTTGGGGGTCGAATGACCCTTTCACAGGGGTCGCCTAAGACCATCGGAAAACAAAAAGATATTTACATTACGATTCATAACAGTAGCAAAATTACAGTTATAGAGTAGCAACGAAATAATTTTGTGGTTGGGGGTCACCACAACATGAAGAACTGTATTAAGGGGTCGCGGCATTAGGAAGGTTGAGAACCACTGCTCTAAATGGAAGCTGGCCCCCAGAGGGGCTGTCAGGGCCATTGCCTAATAAGGGTCATGAATATTTGTATTCCACATCTCCCCCAAACAGGGTTTTCATTTATCGCCTCACTTCTTCCCTCCTTGTCCTTCTGCCTTTTTTCTATCCCGTTTCCCTATTTCCTGGCCCATCACCTCCAGTAATGCTCAGTAATCAGCCAGGATGTTGAATATCATTTGGGAAGAATGAGAAGCACCAAGAGAGACTCTGAGCAAGACAGAAGGAATGAAGGGAACAGCAAGAAAGTGAAGAAGGAAATTAGGAAGGAAGGAAGGAAAGACGGGGGGTGGGAGGAAGGAAGGGAGGGGGGAAGGAAGAAACACTTTTTTTCATATGCAACATTTACTGTGGACCAGGTTGCGAGGATGGGGGTACTGATGTTTATAAAGGGGTTATAGTACTTCTCCAAAGTAACACAGCTAATTGTTATCCAAATCTGACGAATTCTAGAGCCCATATCCTGTTCACCATGCCATACTGCTTCCCTTTTCTACCTTATCTGCCATTCAACTTGGGGTAATATTTTCTTTCTCTGAAACTCTAATATGACTTTGGCTCTTTTACTTACCAGCGTGTCTTACATTGTAATGACTTGTGTATGTGTCCAGCACTGACATGTAAAATGCATGAATCATTGGTTAGCTTTGTTACTAGATAGTAAAGAGCCTGTACTGAATTCATTGTAGTCTCAGCAAGGAAAGCCAGGGTCTTATAATTAAGATTTGCTCTATAACTATTGAACAGATTGAATATCTTAGGCACCTCTGTGGGCATCACAACTGTTAGATGCTATAGCTACGCCAGTAACCTCCAAGACCCAGCATTTGTGTTGTAATTTCTAGTATAATCACTAAAAGAATAGAAACAGAATGTATAACACCTAAGCTAGTAGAGGAAGACAAATGGAATGATAATGAAGCACACAATGTGATATACAGATGATGTATTACAGAATTGTACACCTGAAAACTGTGTAACTTTCTAACAATTGTTACGCCAAAAAGATTTAAAAAGCAAAAGAAAGAAAAGAAGACAAATGGCCAGCAAGCATATGAAAAGATGATCAATGCCACTGATCGTTACAAAAATGCAAGTTAAAATCACAAGGAGATAGCGTCTCATATCCATTAGGATGGCTACTATAAACAAAACAGAAAATAAAGAAGTGTTGGCGAGGATGTGGGGAAATTGAAACCCTTGTGCACTGTTGGTGGGAATGTAAAATGGTGTAGCTGCTATGGAAAACAGTATGGAGGGTCCTCAAAAAATTTTTAAATGGAATTACCATATGATCCAGCAATTCCACTCTGGGGTATATATCGAAAAGAATTAAAAGCAGGATCTCAAAGAGATATTTGAACACCCATTTGTCTGGATCCTTCTCCGAATAATATTTTTAAATTCACAAAAAAGAATATATAGACTTACAAAGGAAACTCATCATGTTAAAACACAGTTTTCAAAACATTACAAAAATGTGATATAGTAACATGAGCTTCTTGATTTATGCATTAAATAACCAGACCTAATGGTAGTTCTAATAATTGTAAGAATTTTGAAGTAGTCATGAGCATAAATGAAATGTCAAAATGCCTGCAACAACTGGCATACGATATGCAAATCTCTGTGATTTCTGTTACTGACAAATTCACAGGTACTGCTAACACTTCTGTGGTTTGTTGCTTACACTCATTTCCATTTGAAATCAGTGAAAATAAAGAGGTAATTTTTTCTATGTGAATTCAAAGTTGTCTACTCTGCCCCCCGAATTCGAGGTCCATAGGCCCCTGGTTAAGAACCTCTGCTCTAAGGGGTCATACAGCTTTCAATGGGTTAGAATAGGCTGCCTCCTACATGTCTCATTCTTCAGGGTGACATTTTTCCCGGCCCAGTTTGCAAGCTTGCCCCTGTAACTGGCTGTCCACGAAGCCCTGGTTTCTGGGTGGGAAAAGCTTGGAGCTCTCAGCCCATTTGTCCAGCACTGATGACTGCCATGCCCTGAGTCCACTGAACAACTGGTCTTTTCTCAAAATTCTGTCTAATGAGTTATTCAAGCAGCCGTCAGATTTTCTTGAATTCTCTCACCATTACCATATGCTGGAAAATCACCTTACACCTACCTAGTAACACAACTCTGGAAGCCACCATCGCCTCTGCCCTGGTCCCTGAATGTGACTCTGAACTAGAGGGGTAGTCCTGAGAAGGCTGGGGCAATCCTTAAACCAGAACATCCGTAGCCTCACTCTGGCCTTCACGCCCCTCAGCTGAGAGGGGAGAAACGGACTGACCTCCACAGTAGCCATCTCTTGGGTGAAGAGGAGCAGCCCTTCTGCGAGGGAGGGGACCAACCTAACCATCTCTTCAGAGCCCTCCGCATCTGGGGATTCCTGGCCTCTTTCTTGGCCTGTTCCCATGTGCTCCGCAGCTCCTGGGGTTCACTCACCTAAAATTATGTAGACTGGGATCCACTGAAAAACAGAGAGGATTTCGAGGATCTCCTGAAGATCTAGCTGGGAGAAGAAGGCCATGACTGGTGCAGTTCTGTCGTGGCAGGAAGCCCAAACAGAAGGCCAGCACCCTTAAAGCTCAGCAGCTTACAGGTGCTTTGCTCTGATCTCTTGCCACTGAGTCCCTTTAGCTGTGGAGCTTTTAGTGTTGACCTAACCTTTCCTCCAATCGTCCCTGTTTCTCTGCCCCGCCCCAACTTCCTACACACACATCAGGTTTCAGATCCTACTATCTAACCTCCCTAATACGTATCCTTTCTCCATGTGTGCTCAATTGCAATGAGGCAGAAATGGCCTTGGGGTGGTTTTAGCTCTGTGTATGTGGGGTTGGAGGGAGGGTTCCTTGATAAACTAGTGCAGGAAAAGAGAATGGCTTAGGCCTCAAATAGGACCTCTGAAAGCAACTTGCTACTTTTCACTGCTTAAGAAAGGGGACCTGGCGACCACATTTGTCTGTGCCCTACTGACTGCTCTTTGCATCTTCCTGTCTTCTGCTGAGAGCCACCTAGATGCCTAGGGCTTGTTTTTGCATGGATATCTAGTCTTCTCAAATCCCTCCTTGTGCCTCTATTCCCAGGAGCTCTGTATCAGCAGCCAGATACCGTATGATAGTGTGGGAAAAGCATTGCACAGAGAGCAGATCTGGGTTCCAGTCCTAGGTCCACCATATTCTTCCCATGACACCTGTGGAAATTGCCCCATCTCTCTAGATCTCAGTTTCACCATTCATTATTGGAAGGCAGTATAATGGTTAGGGGCATGGACTTACAGCCAGCTATCGGGAGTTCAAATCTTGGCTCTGCCACCTACTAGTTGGTGAACCTCTGTACCTCAATTTTCCCCATTTATAAAATGGCAATAATAATAGTACCTGTTTCATAGGGTTATGTTCTGAGGATCAACTGGGTGAATGAGTGTAAAGTGCTTGGCAGAAGGCTTGGCACACAACAGACATTATGTGTTTCCTGTTATTATCCGTTTAGTTCAATTAATGTCTACTGAACATCTATTAGGTTTCAGGGTAAGAGGCTTGCTTTTGCATACCAGCCTTTGCAAAATTAAAGGCTGTCCCCAGGTCCGAGACCTCTGGATCCATTTTTTTCTGTAATTATCTATTGAGTGACTGTTTGCCAGGCACTGTTATAGGTGCTGAGGATTCAGTGGGGAAGAAAATGGACATGATTCATGCCTTTGAACTTACAGTCTAGTGGAGGAGACAGACATTAAACAAACAAATCACAAAAAACGTCTATACACTTGAATTTGTGATTACGTGCCCTAAAGGAAAAGGCCAGTATTCTCAGCATAAGACCTTGACTATACAAGGTGCTCAGAAAATTCTTCTGAATATAATCAAAAGGGTTGCTAGGAAAATCAATTAAAAAAATGGTATCGAGTGTCCTACAAGTGAAAGGAAATAGAGATTCCTTAGCTTTCTCTAGGGAGATTGCAGAACCCTGTCTTGCTCTCTACTCTCCAACACTGGCTTGGGTCTCTTGATTAGACTGACTCTTCAGAGTTGAGCTTAGGGAACTTTTTCTGGTATGTTGCAGGGGTGTGGCTTTATTCTTCAATGTACCCTACATGGCCACTTGATTTGTCACCCCTTTCTCTGCTTCATGTTTCTTTTCTTTGCCCTAGCTAGCTGGGGTTCTCAAGCTGCTTCTTGGGGCTACTTGGCCACATACAGAGTGAGCTGTACTGGAGCAGGTCTGCTGGAATTTGCAGGGGAGGAGGGTGAGAGGTAACAGAGGCAGGCCTGGCTCTTCTAACAGAAAGCACAGATGTGAGGAGGGCTGACATATCCAGGATAGACAAGATCCACAATTTAAGAGCTCCAAGTCCCCTTACAGATCAGGTCTCTCCCTCCTTCACTTTCAGGTTGGTAAACAAACAGAAGAGGCCTAGAAAGGACTCAAGGTCGCATAGCGTGCCAGAGGCAGGGCCAAGTCAGAGTGATTTTCATTTCTGTCTCCCTAATGTCTGGCCCAGGGCCTGGTACAGAGTAGGGACTCAAATAAATGTTTGTGGAACAAATGAGGGAGGTCTGGTGTGCCGGTTCCTCAAGCAAGATGGACTGGCAGGGCTGGGCCAAGACCTTGATTGCCCACCCCTGTCCCCCCCACAAAGAGAGCATGCTGTCCAAGCGGCAGCTCTCTTGAGCCAAGTGGACAAGTGTAAGTACCAGGGAATGTAGACAGAGCAGGAAGAAGAGAAGTAGGCCAGCAGACAAACCCTGAACAGCCAGCACTCATGATTTCCCAGTTACAATTGAACCAACTAAGAAGCAAAAGCTTAGCTGCCTCAAAGTAAGCAGTGCCAAAGGAAAGGTAGCCAAAACGCATAAAAGGTCTGCCAATTTCATTTCCAAACATTTAAGGCTGACATAATTCTAACCGTTAAGAAATTCACAGTGTAGCGTGTGAGGTAGATGTAATCTCAGACACCTGTGTAGGGTATTATGGGGTGCGCAGGGGGGGGAAGCACCCACTAGCTTGAAGTCCGGGAAGGCTTTATGGCAGAGGGGATGCTGCAGTGAGGAGAAAGGGACTAGGCACAACAGGCATGGAGGAAAGACTGCAATTCGTTCACCAAACCAGAAGGAATAGGGGGTCTGGGACAAGCTGGAAAGCTAAAAGCTTCTAAAGAGCAACAGAAAAACAAAGAAAGGAGAAGAATGGAAGGGAAAGAAGATCAAGGTGACTCAGGAGCTCAGAAGGAGTGGTCAAACTGAGGGTAGCCCTGAGAAAGGAGCAGTTCCAGGATTCTTTTTCCTGGTTTCAAAGGTTCACCCTCAGCCTTCTGAATGACTCATTTCCAGAAAGCTTTGGATAGCTGAGGTTTTACAACAATGTGTTTTCTTCAGATGGTCCCTCTTCTTTCATGCTCTTATTTGGTTAGGTGCTGCAACTACAGCTCAATTAAAAGCATTTGTAGAAAGAATACCAAGATGGCACAGTAGGTAAATGTTGTGCTTACCTTCTCTCACAACCACATCAAAATTACAACTGAACTACAAAACAACCATCATTGAGAATCACATAAAATCAAGCTGAACCGAAGCCCTACAACTAAGGACGTACAGAAGAAGCCACCTCAACTTGTAGGAGGGGCAGAGACGCTGAACAGGATGGTCCCACACCTGTGTGTGACCATGAAAGATTGGGAGGGCTATTTTTTTTAAGCTGAGCCATCCTGCCACCTGTTGGCAGCTCAGCGGCTGTTCAGCTTGGGCAGGGAATCAAACCACTGTTGCTCAGAGCTCAAACTCTTGAGTGAGCTCTTAACCAACTGAGCAACTTGGCCGGCCTTGGGAGGGCTATTTTGACTATGAGAGTAACTCCATCCCCTAAAGGAGCGAGAGATCCCAGCCACACCCCAGCCCAGTGTTCCAGTGCTGGGGAGAGAAGTCCCCATAATTTCAGGTTGTGAAAGCCAGCGGAGATTGTGACTGAGTGAGACTGAGGGTGGCTGCACTCACAGGCACTCCTCTTAAATGGCCCACACATGGACTTACCCACCAACGGAGTCACTTGCTCTGAGCTCCAGCGCTGGGGCAGCAGCTGGAGATGGTGGCAAGGACATATTGGGGGCAGGGGGGTGACTGAGTTATCTGACTTGGGATGGAGTCTAGAGAGGCGGCTTTCTCCTGGACAGAGGAGCTGGTGGAGGGCATTGTTTCCTTGCCGAGCCCTCCCCCTTCCCAGCGTGGGAACATAGGCAGTCACGATATCTGAGGCTCCACCATTTGTTTGCAAGGCCCTGCCTCCCACCCCCAACTTTTGGGCACTCCCAAACCACTTCCAGTGGCTTTTTCATGCAAACTGCCTGCCTTAGCTCAAGCTGAAGACTTTCCTAGGGTCTCTCAAAGGTATACAGAATCCTGACAAGCTTCATGTGGCTTGAGCATGTCCAGTACCTCTGGCTGAGCAGCCCTAAGCCTGGCACTAGTGGCAGCTGGCCTAGGTCTGTGTCTTGGCCTCTCAAGGCATTTCCAAGCACTGCATGGGTGGCAGCCATCTTTGGATTTCTCTGTGGCTCCTGCCGGGTGGCCCTGGGTGGGGCACGGGCTGTGGCTGAACTTGACCTACAGCGGATCCCCTCCAAGGTGGTCCTGGGACTGGCACCCCCAGTATCCAGCTTCAAAAAGAGCTGGAGCATCAGCCAGCCACCTCCAAGGATGACACACCCAAGGGGCAGACTGGTAAGCACCAGAGCCCTGCTGAGGCAGCCCCTGCACAACAACTCTTCCACTGTAGTCAAGGCCAGTCCTCACAACCAGTGAGTCCAAGGGCCAGTCCCTCCCATTGATGTGCAATTATCAACAAAGGCTCAACTACAAGAGGAGGCACATACAACCCATACAAAGGACACACATGGAGTGCGTGGCTCAGGTGACCAGAAAGACTTCACTGAACCCCACAGCACACCTACTACATAAAGCCACTCTACTAATATCGGAAGATATAGTGGCACTACCTAATACATATAAACAAACACAGGGAGACAGCCAAAATGGGGAGACAAAGAAATGCGTCTCAAATAAAATAACAGAACAAAGCTCCAGAAAAAGAACTAAGCGAAATGGAGACAAGCAATCTACCAGGTGCAGACTTCCAACCACTGGTCATAAGGATGCTCAGTGATCTCAGGGAGAACTTCAGCAGAGAGATAGAAAGCACAAAAAAGGAAATAAAAAACAGGAAAAAGAACCAGTCAGCAATAAAGGATACAATAATGGAAATGAAGAATATATTACAGGGAATCAATAGATTAGATGAAGCAGAGGATTGAACCAGCGATGTACAAAGTAACGTAGCAGAAAACACCCAACGAGAACAGCAACAAGAAAAAGAATCCAAAAAAATTGAGGAGAATTTAAGGGGCCTCTGGGACAACATCAAGCATACCAACATTTGCATTATAGGGGTACCAGAAGGAGAAGAGAGACAGCAAGGCATTGAAAACCTATCTGAAGAAATAATGTCAGAAAACTTCCCTACCCTGATGAAGGAAATAGA